AAAAAAAAAAAAAACATGGGCTCTTCATTTTCGTCATTTAAGATCGATCTTTTGTCCAATTGGCGATTTAGAAATTTCATTTTCACCGAGATAGAACAGGAAGAGAGGTTGAAGGCACTAACCAGGACATCATAAGGACTCGGTACTGGAGTTTGATTGCCAATCCGTGTACAAACATGGCGGTACAGAAGGTCATGTTCAAAGTTCATGGAATTTAAGAGAGATTAAACCCTAGATAAGAAGGCGCCAAATTTCAACTTTCCAAGAGACGAAGGTGATAGCCTACACATTATCCACCATATACATGGATTACTACCAAGTTTCTTTCAAAGGATTTGGTTGTGGGGGAAAATGGAGGGAAGGGAGTAGAGGGGAAGGGTTTTTTACATCTACATTGGTTTAAGTTTTTTTTCCATTCATTCATTCAATAAAAAAAAATACAATCTCTCTTGTCAATGTATCTTTTCACTAATCTCTCTTCGTTTAAACATACACCCACGTTACCAAGAGCGCTTAGATGAGATGACTTGAGTCTCTTCTAGCTTAACCAGTGGTCTCGAGTTCAAGTCCTGGAAATGCAGCAGTATTAAAACTCTTGAGGGAGAGCTTTGCCGCCCTTGTGGTCCTACCCGGCTCGATTCCCGATTAGTCGGTTCCCTTGTGGATCCAGAAACCGGAAGGTCCTTGTAGCAAGAAACATACACCCACATTCATACTCATTCATTTAAATATATAAGTAGGACCCATTATCCACTCATTCAATATAATTTTTATATTCTATCCACAATAAAAATAAATTTTAAATACATAAAAATAAAAAAACACTACAAGACCAAAATAACATAAATTAAGATTACACAAGAAAAAAATAGTACAATTACAAAAAATATTTTTTTTAGTTGTTGGCAAAATGAGTCCAAATATGCTCAACTAAATCGGCACGGAGTTGATGATGCACTGTGTTATCACCTATCTCTGAAATTCTACGAATAAAATTCGAATTTATTTGTATTGAAAAGTGTGATATAGATAAAAAATAAATAAAATATCAAAAACAAAAAGGAAAATAAGTAAATAAATAATAATCTTAAAACAAAAAAAAAAGAATAAATTACTACATGTGCAGCATGTATATGATAAAATAAGATTTTAAAACAAAAAAAAAATAAAAAATAAAATGGTGAATGAACGATTCAATCTGTTGAACGTTGTGGTGGGGCCCCCTATTAACGGATGAACTGCATCCGTATTAACGCCGGGGGTCGTTTAAACATCAAAAAAATAGCACCGGGTGCTCTTATTTTTTCGAGTAATGCTATAAGTACATAATGTTGTACATAAGAGGGTACATAACACCACATTGAGTGGGACCCACTAAAAATAAAAAATCAAGTGGACTTCACTCCATGTGAGTGTTATGTACACCTTTATATACATTTATTATATATACTTATAGCATTTTTCTATTTTTTTCATTGTTTAGTTGGTAAATTGAAAGGGAAGTAAAAATCTTCTCTCCTCTTCCCCTCCAAAAGTGGGGATTTGAAAGGGGAGGAGAAATTTTTATATGTGAATTTGCTCTATATCAGCCCATACCCATAATATACACAACTTTATATTGTTTGGTTGGGCTTCTGATAACTTTTAATATGTGTTTGACAAATGGATTTAATCAACTAGTTAAATGTGTTTTACATTGATTTGTTTGTGATAAGTCAACGTAATTAAAGGTGACTTATCATTTCAAAACTGATTCCCGAGATTAGTTACGGGATTTATTTTCAAAACTGACTTATCATTTCTTCTTCTTCTTCTTCTTCTTCTGCAATTCTACGCATAATTCCCTCTTTTTGCCCTACAATTGATTTTTTTTTTTCTATTTTTTTTTCGGTCGGTCGAGTTCTGATGGTGCAATATGCGGCTTCGCCAAGTCTTCATCACCGAATGCTTCTCGAGCGTGATGATGGTGGATGAGCGACGACTTCCGACGATTGAGGAGATACCCAATGGTGGACTCCATCGCCTTCTACCC